TTCTTTCTTTCTTTCTTTCTTTCTTTCTTTCTTTCTTTCTTTCTTTCCTTTTTCTTTCTTTCTTCTCCCCCTCTCTCTTTCTCATTTACGGGGCGGAATGGGATTTGTTGTTACTTGATCAACCACCTCCACAGTGTGGTACCCCTTATTGGGACCCCAGAGCCAGGTCATTAGGCCCTTATGAAAGGATAGGATGGTTAGGGTCAACCTAACATTGGGAGGCAAGATATTCCAGAAGGCAGGAGCAACAGCAGAGACGACCTCACTAGCTAGAATAATTGGGCTGACGGGACCGACAGCATGCCTCCTCTGGCAGCACGAGTGATATGGTTGAAACCAGGATGCTACAATACAGCCAAAATGTAGTGAACAGATTGGGTCCAGGTTGGCAAAGAGGTGAGACAAGACTTTATACTGTCACTTTATTTAAACTATATGTGGAATATATATGGAAAAAAGCTATGTGGGGTTTTAAAACTAGAGGAAGAAATATCAATAATTTGTGCTGTACTGATACAATGTAATCTGCAAGCTCTAGTAATGAAAGTCAAGGAGTCCAATGTAAGATGAAATGTAAAGAAGACTAAAGTAATGACAACAGATACAGCAGCCAGCCTTAGGAAATGACAATCAAGATATTGAAGTAGTAGATAACTTCTGCCTTTTAGAGTCAACTATCCACAATTAAGGAACCAGCCATCAAGAAATACACCAAACAGCAGCAATGAAGGCCTCACAACAGATCACGGGTGTCAAACTTGATCACATAATATGCGGTGATGTGGTGATGTACCATAATGGTTTTTGCCTTTGCGGAGCCAGGGTGGGCTGAGTGTGATGCATCTGGCCCACGGGGGCTGCCAGTATGAAACTCCTGCAATAGATATTTAAATGCTGGCATGTGACACTCTATGGAAATGAAATTGGACTTAGAAGAAGCAGCATAGAAAGAATATTGATGCTTTTGAGCTTCTCTGAGAAAATCTATCTAAATGGTCAGTCAGAATTGAACATCAACCTGATGGCACATAGTAATTTAATTTAGAGATCTCAAACTGAACTACTCAAATGCTTCTTGAAGACAAGGTCATTAGGCTCAAGAGCACAATACTTACTATTTTATACATTGATACAAAAGTGTTTAGAAAGTAAAAAAAATGAAGAAAATGAAAAGGATAATGGTATGCCATTAAACATAAGTGTATTAAGTTAAAAACAACAATGGTAAAACACTGCAAATCAGAGTTACAAAAAAGCAATTTTATTTTGGTTATTTACAGCAGACAAACTTAATTAGAACAGCAATGTTTGGTTTATTAATTATATACCTATTTTATAATTATAAATCTATTTATTGTAAAATGTTTCTAACCCATCCAAGGTCTGATAGATTTAGGGTAAGTTACAACAAAATAACAAAGAATAATGAACAAAACAATTACAATCCCATTATCAATATCAGATAAACACGGTAAGCATTCAAGCACCTATTAAACTAATTTAAACTAAGGGCAAATAAGAGCAAAGCTACAGTGCCTCTTTTGGACCAAAAGACTCCCAGATTACAGCATAAATCACTGAATCATTCATCATTGCAGACTCTGCTTCAAGTGGCATCCAAGCTTCCTTCCTGCTTCCAGCATATCTTCCCTGGCCCATTCTCGACTTCCCACTATCTCTGTCAAAGTGCTGCATCAGAAACAGTAGCTGCCATGGAATGTGAGAGTGGGTGGAGGTTCCCAAAATGAGGACTCATCAGCATGAGAAACCTCAAGATCACACCTATGGAAGACCTATCGGATTCATTGATGAGTTGCCAGGCTGCACTCCAAGTCCTGGCTTACTGGGCGTAATGCATGCAGGCAAAATACTGTTGCTTGCCACAGAAAGTGATGTGGAATCTGCATATGGGCCATAACTTTGAAAACTTTGATCTAAGGCATTACAAAGCTGTTCAGATGTTCTTATTCGCCAGAGAAGCTTTTAGAATATGTCCCTAAGTCCGATGCCTGACTTTCTGTCACATCAAAGAGAGCCTGTTTTGCCAGCTAATAGAACGCCCTGCTCTGTGAGTTGGATTTAGCTTTAACTCCCTCCGTATTTAGGAAATCTGTCAAGACGCCTTCCTTTCACCAGACTTTAATTATTAAAATATGTTAGTACCTATTATAGCATTAATTTTGATCTATGTTTTTAACTTTTTGGTTTCTATACTTTATTAGCTGACTTGAGTACGCACTTACCGGAAGGTGAAATATAATTTTTTTAATTAAACCAATACAATAAGTATTTTGATTAGAGTGGTCCTGTTTTAATGTTATAGTAGGGCTGAGCAGTTCTTTGGTTTATATGAAGAATGTATAGACTTAAGCATGTTTTGGAATAGTCTAAATCTATATGAAAAAGATCCAGGTCTAGATACAAGTACTTCTCTTTCAAACTGTATATACTTCCTACTACTTATTCCCTGAAGGATGTTTTACAGTAAGTGAATAAAATGAATTTGAAAAGAGTTGGAAGTTTGGATGCTTCACCACAATGTTGATCTGAAAGATACTTCCAAATCAAACCATCAAACATTTAGGAAAAGATAAAGATGTTGGAACAGCCTTCTCATTCCCCAGACTTGAACATTATCTCTGAGATTTCAAACAGCAATGCATGCAAGGAGAACTAGGAATATCTCTGAGCCAGAAGATGTCTGCAAGGAAGAGTAGGGAAAAATATAAAAATAAAAATACAAAGTGTCCTAATTGGATATTTGAAACATTTGAAAAGATTCTCAAAATAATTACTTTAGCTGTCAGCCGCCAAATCATCTTGATTCAGATTAGGGCTGCCACAGGGAGGATGGGCAGCTATGGGAATGAAAGAATAGTGAGGAGGGAGGATAGTCACAATGACATTCTTTCGAAAGAGCTCAAGGTCGAGTCGCTGGAGTTTGGAGGGGAGTGACAGGGCTTGGCGGGAGTTCAGAATTAAGGTGGATTGGAGAATGTAACTAAAGAATCATCAATAGGGGCTGGGTGTGAGTTTCAGCGTAGAAGGGGAACTGCAGGAATTCAGATTCAGGTTTTCCCCAGATGTGGTAATATGACTTCTCTAATAAATTCTCACTTGGATGGACTTTGTCTCTGAATTTGGGATGGAGAGTTTCGTTGGAACACTGACATTAGCAACACTCCAAGTCCATTAATTATCTAGTAACTGCTCTTTGCAGTTCTTTTGCTATGATTTTTCATAAAGACAATGGGTTCTGTTTCCAATAATCCCAATATAAAAATATTTTTGCTTTATTGGGGAAAGATATAATAGCATATCATATTTTACTTTACTGTTGGAATAAATTATTATGTCTTAAATTCTGGAATCCACAGGTTTATTTCTTGATAGTTATTCCAACAATAAGAGTGATTAAAAACTATTACATACTATTATGGATTCAAGTAGGGTACAAAATTTGTTCAAATAATAGTAGGTAGGAGTAAATCACACAGGTCCTTTACATTTTTTAAAGACTCTATGATTATCTGGAGAAATACTGGACAGAAGTATGGTTTAGTCTACATAG